TGAGTGCACTAGAAGATGCACCGAGAACACACGAGGATTACCAACTGGCTACATAAAGCAACTACAGATGCTAGCCACCAGTGCAATTTTTCAGTTGTGAAATTAGAAAAATCCAACTGTCTATTTTTTCAAAAACAAAAAGGGTGCATTAGTTATCAAGCCCTACAACAAAGAGAAAAATAGGAAAATACATTACACTTCTTGAGACTTTTGTGATTTTGCTGTTGTTGTTTTTGAATAAAATCAGAGATCGAATAAGCTTCGATTTCTATTTGGCTGCCCACGCCAGCACACTGTACACCAAAGGGTGGAGTTAAGAAATTATGCCAGAAATAATCCAAAGACAAGATGAGCTTTGGTTGAGTGAAATATTACCTGAGGAGGGAAGATGGTTGGCAAACAAACCTGCTTCTGTATTTACAGCTCTATCAAGAGATTAGAGAACTCTATTGACCAAACATGTAGGCAAAGAGAAATGTCTCCTATCTAGCAGTATGTATGAGGATGGGAACCACAGTGACATCCTTCATTTTAAATATTCTCCCATCTCATATCCATCTATTGTTAAAAATCAAAAACAATGAGTCACCAAATAGTCAGCTCCATGCCCCTACATGAAATGTATATGGTGCGTTCTCTTTTTAAAATGCACTTGATCATCAGGGCTTCTTCTCTAATCTAGGCTGCTTCAAAGATACAGATGATGTGGTTTCTGCTATTGTTTACATTGTCTCAGCATACAGCAACACTACTTCCCCACTACCTGAATGAAGCAGGAGATTATCTGGGGCAGCAATCGCAACAGTTCCAGTAGATCTTTGTACATACAAGAAGCCCATTCAGAGGAGTGGCTTTCCGTCTAACTCACGTGGAGCAAATTTGTCTCAGCATCATCACACTCAATTCATTACCAGAGTGGAAATCATATCAAGGACAGGTACGCTGACAACTTGCACTACAAGTCCAAGTGTGCATGTTTTTTAAATAAATAAATGGCTCATCACATGTTAACAAAATGCCAACATTTTTAGAGTCTTGTGCATAATGGGTTTTGATTTGGTGTGTGTGTGTGTGGGAGGGTAGGGTGGAGGTGGAAATGGAGTGGAACCTACATTATTCCTATGAAAAATAAGGCAATCCTGATTTTCTTTGTGGCACGCTGCAAGCTAAAGATAACGACTACATTTTATGTCAGAGGTCAGAACTTGCCATACATTTTTTTGTTGACAAAACAACCCTCTTAGCAGTACACACACACCGCCAAACGCACACATTCCCGCCTCCGTAACTACACACTGAGTTCATATAAACATACTCCAAACTCTGAAGAAACTACAAATGTTCTGAGGAAAAGAGTGGGAAAATCTGACATTAAAAAAAAGTCACAACACAAAAGTTACATTGAATTGGCATCAATTTAACAACAATCCAAATCTAATGAAATTGGGAAATCCAAAAAGACTTAAATTGTAATTATGTAAATAAAATTATAATTTACATGTTATTAAATTGGATTACATCAGGTGTAAAAATTAGGGTAAAACATTTGTTAGTTTTTATAAAATTATTTTATTACGTATATTTTGCTCCATGTGTCTTAAAAACAGAAACGTGTCATCATTTGGCCACATTCACTCTCATAACCCATTGAACAGATTGAAACAGGTAATTTTATGTGCTGGTTGGCTGTAGCAAAATGCAGCCATAGGATTTCAACAACAAAAAAATAATAATTCTAAATTAAATCAAGAATTGGAGATACTAAAATTAAAAGCGTGTCAGCTGTTCTGTTTGCCCCCCTTCACCCCCACCTTCCCTCATTTACATTTTTAACTGTATGTGATTCTAGGTGGGCGTCACTACTGTTTTAAATTTGCTTTGCACCCACAATAGGGATTCTATACATTTTTTTCTCTCCAAAGAGGGTGGCGATTCCCAATGACCACCCCCCTCACTCACATACACACACTCACACATGCACACACACACACACACACTTTAGCCTTCCATTCTTGCACCCCTCCCCACTCTTCCTTTACCACTCTAGCTTCCCAGCTTCCACAAACCCCTCTGCAGCCTGACATACATTTCAGCCAGCTTCCTGATGAACACTGCTATGACCGTCTCTGAAATTCAAAACTCGTCCATACATGCAGACGCACACAGCGTTCATGTCCACAACATGGTCAGAGGTCAGGGGCAGCCAGGGCCGGCCTCCGGTTCAGCTTACGGGGTTCAGCACTGACACTTGCAGCACAGAATGAACGAAAAGAATAGCAGGCTAGATTGAACCCTCACTGGGCTGCCACCCCCAACCCACCTCCCCACAAGGGTTTGTTCTCCCTGAAACCTGCCCCTCCCACAAAAACGCACACCTCCACTGAGGTTCCATTTCAGGGAGGAAAAAAAAAAAAAAAAAACAGAATCAGAGCAACTTAATGGCATTTAAGCATGCACATTACAGCAATAACGTCTTTTAAGCAAACACAACGACAGCATGTTCGATCTGAAGCCACACAGCAGCACGACGCACAAAGTAGCAACAACACTCCTGCAAACTTCAACCTAGTTTTTAGACTAAAGTCACATTTAAAGGAAAAGATTGAAATATCAAATATTGGTAGCTTGTCCAGTTACGACAGAGCGAAAATTATTTATTTTGCTTGATTGTATTTCGTCTGAACGCAAACGCCGTCAAACGTTCCAATTAACGCGCATTAACAAACGCTCCGCTGCTGTTGTTTTACAACTGGCGGATTTTAAATATTTACAAAATAATTTAGTAAAACATTGTTCGCCAAAATGTGTCCCAAACGCGTGTGGATCCTGAAGCTGAGCAGATGTTTGACATAAATAATTTAACACGATAAATTTGTGCCATAATTTGGATAATTTGGTTCTTGCTGGCTGAACGGCCATTTTAAGACAAGGCTTCCAAAAAAAATTGTTTTTCGTGATTTTAAACCTTCTCGTGCTGCTTTCATTCTAAACACGAACACTTTAACACACGAACTGGACCAGCTGTGCTGCTACAGGGCGAGCCGGGCGCTGGACAGACCCGGAACGATACACAGTGAGAAAAAAAGAGAAGCAGCAGCAGCCTGCATAGTGTTCCTGCTTCATTCAGAGCTTCGCCATTTTGCCCTCACTGCCTGACGTGGAGTGACTCTTATCTGCGTGGACGCACCACGTGTTGTGGAGCCACGGAAGGCCCCACTACGCCCACGGTGGACCCCTTACTCACAAATCACCTTTATCATTATGGCTCTTCAAGGTTATCACAGAGAAGGTCTGGGACTCTTTTTGCGCAACCACAGCGCCATCAGAATAATTTACCGACCCGCTGGGAGATTAGAAGATATTACAGCCTGCTGCCATGTTGGTTCCCTGAGCATGGCGAGTTTGACAATAATTTGCGAGATTCGGCTTCACTGCCTAACGCCATTCATCTGCAGAAAGACCACACTGCTCGTAATTTTACACCACAACCATGTTGCAACATTGCTACTGTGCGCTTGTGGCGCACGGCGGGCGCCCAAAATCCGCCTCAAATTTAAAATTTTGGCCACAATCGCACGAAACCACATGAATACTGTTTACATCCACTAATAGCATTTATTTCAAGTCAACAGCACACCCAAATCATGGAATCTACGTCTACTGGCCATTTTGATCATGGGACACACACATTACGCACACATGTGGCCAAATGGCGGAACATGGAGAACTGTGCTCACTGCTCACCTCGTATCTGTGCCAAAGGTTACAGGCATGAATGATGGGCAATAGGCGAATTCCATAATGCTTTTAAAAGCAGGTCAAGTCTGGCTCTCAGCACAGAGCAGCTGATCTACAATGGACCTCAGTTTATCCCCTGAACCGAGAAAATTTCATTTTAAAAAAGCGCTACAGGTACAGTGTTACCAATACATGCTTACGACTCGCGATCAACCAAATGACGTTTTGCTGCATAATAAATAAAATATTTACACCACGATCCTGTTTTGATTTCACATGTGGCAACAAAAGAGCTTAAAAATAATTATTACACTCAAAATACAAATCTGTGTGTTTTACAAGAAATCATAGATGGAACAAAGAATTAATGTGTTTTTTTTTTTTTTTTTTTAATAATTAGGGCCCCATTAAATTACGTAAACGTCCAGATACTGAGTGGAAGTGTATTATAAAGGTAAAAAATAGGTGAAATAAAATAATCAGCACTTTGCATTTAACTAAAATAACAAAAAGCATGAATTTAAAGACTAGTTTGCAGCCAAATGTGAATATAATCCAGACATGTTCACACATACACCAAAGCAATTCTGCCAAAAGCTGCATTCATTAAAATAATGTGTACATTACTAATATTATTACTATTACATACATATGCATTACAAAAACCGTTCAAAAAGTTGCTAAAGTACGCAGAAAGCCACTACACTACACACATACGCTGCCTAGCTGCTAGTGCTTTTTTTTTTTTATTATTCTAGTTAAAGAAATAAAAAGTGTAGTTAGATGAAGGGCACGGCCTGCAGCCTGCTGGTCGTGCTCAAAGCCCAATGTGATGACTTTGCAAAGAACATTAGGCTAGGCTACGTGTACGTGGATTCACGCTGCACCACTCTGCAAACACCAGCGTTTGAAATGACGAGAAATAACCACAACCACACCACGCCGCACCGCACCGAACGGCAGGCACGTAGCTCAAGCTGTCACAGCTTAGTCCCACAGCAATGGCCGACAAAGTTGAGGCTCCACACAGTCACACCACAACACCAACAAAACACCACCAAGCTAGCCACTTCCAGCCTCCACCTGCACCTGCACGCCACCAAGGCGCACAGGCACGTCTCCATTTAACGCCCAGTGCAAATTAATCAAGTTTTGCGTGATTAGTCCATGTCAGAAAGGCCTGCACAAGGTGATGCAACACATGAAAGGTTTTTTTTAGAGGAGGGGGAGGGGTGGTGTGAGTGCTCCATGCTGTTTAGTACCTTTGCTTCTTGGGGACGGAGTGCTCGACCTCCATACGTTTCCCATGAAGTTCCGCTTTACCTGAGAAACAGACGCACAAAAAAACAATGGTTTCAGAAATACAGTGTGGCTACATGCTAACTGTTTACTAGCTGTTCAGGCCTATTATGGAGGGATACGCTCTGTTCAGGGTATGCAGCTAAAGTGGAAGACCCTTTTACAGATTAGTTTTGAAAATAAAACCTGCTGCGTATCGTAAACACTAAAAAAAATAAATAAATAAAGAGGCCGAGGAGAGGCTGAGTAGCGACAGGTTCAAAGGGCACAAAACATGACTTGAGTTGTGGGTCAAGTGAATAGTGTTCGGCTCTTAACGGTCTACTTAGACCCTCAGATACAGTGTGACACGCGTACGGTTATTATTTCTGCTTTGTTAAAATGGTCCGAGCTCACATGCTGTATAAACAGGGCTGTGTGGAGAGTTTGCTGAGGGCTCGTGTAAGAGAGAGGCAGAGGGAGCTGACCGGCATGGCGACCTTGCCTCCTCACGTTACATATGTAGGAAATCATGAGGAATGGGCTCCAGAGCACTGACGCCACGGGGGCAACCGAGCTTTACGATACCGGTGAGGCTTTATCGTTAATTTTGGAACAGTGGAGGTGAGAGGCCTGCTTCTGGCAAGTACACAAGGTAAGGTATTTTTCTATCTTTGTCATAGTGGACTGTCGGCTTAAAGGGGGAGGGGAGGCAGCAAGGCTTCATTCTATATCACAGGAGAGTAGGCCTACTGAATCCACTACTGGGGCTGCAAGACATCAAAACGCCACTCATGTGCAAACAGCTCGAGACGCACAAGCTATAATTACCACACGATTGTTATAATGTCCTGCGTTAAATTGCAACAGTGTCAAGTGGAGCTGTACGTTCGCCACCAGCTCCGTTACTGTATAGCTTTACACTACGTGCGTCCCTCCCCCCTGCAAAAGTTGAATGGCTCCCCAGGGTGTGTATTTCTTCACACACTACAATTCATTACAATAAATTCACGCAGTAAAAATAACAGTGCGAATTTATTTTATATCCTAAATGTAGGAGCCTCGGCGGTGAACGGAGACTGAAACTGGGACACACCGCTGAAGGTGGGCATGCAGCCGGGCTACCGGCGTCTATCGCTTCTCCATATAGAATGAATGAAACTAAAGGTGGTAAGATAGAGGGGGTCGTTGGCGGTCAGTAATCCACCTTAACTTACCAGATAATGTCTCGATAGCCTTCATGGCCCAGCTATCGTCCGGACAATCCACAAACGCATAGCCGGTTTTCATTAGAAACTGTCCGGAGTATGGGATCTTGTGGTCGTCAAAGGTTTTTCCTAAGTCCTCAGCAGTCACGCTGTCGCCTAGATTCCCAATGTACAGCTTGTGCATGGTGGAAATTGTTTTTCCGAGTCCAAAAACGAAAAAAAAAAAACAATGCCCAGAATAACTAAAATTGAAGCCAGCAAAAAAGTTTCTCTCCTGAATTTGCTAATAGAGCAACAAGACAAGCTATTGTCACAGTTGCCACTCTAACAGAAAGTGGAAATCGCGCTAGAGGGGAAATAGCTAAAAAATAATAATATTTAAGAATACGACTGCAGAACGAAACAAGCGTTAATTTTGGGAAGCAAATTAAAATAAAAAAAAAAATTAAATTTCAAAAGTAGAGCCAGAAGGTAACGGTGAATTTAGCTGTAAATCCAGTTGAACAAGTGGAGCAGGAGAAGAAATGAAATCCCTTGACTTGCAGCCGGCCCCAGCAGACGAATAAAGCCTATAGCCTCTCTATCGCACTGTGGAGGAGGTGGGTTGTACTGGGTGGATTTGATGATGGGTCTATGGTGGAAGAGTGGGAAAAACTATGGCGGGATCAGATCGGGAGAAATGTTTTCCTCTCTCTCCGCCTCTCTCTCTCTAGTTTTCTACCATTCCCTCTTTCAGCGATCCGCCTGCTGCCGGCAGAGGGGTGACGCCGCCCCTCCACCGACTCCACTTCACGTTTTTTTCCTTTTTTTTGTTTGCAAAGAGGAAACCACGTGGTGTATTTGGAGTAGGTTAGAGAGAGGAGGAAGGGGAGGGGGCATCCCCCTCTCATCCGAGGGTATTCACCAGATGAGCGCGTGTGTAGCCTATAGCCTGTGTGTGCGCGCATGGGCACACAAACCGAGGCTCCGAGCTGCGTGCTGTCCTCCCTCTGTTCTGTACTGTACACTGCACGGTGCAGCTTGTGTGCTGCACGGGAGCTTTTATGCAACACGACGTGGACACACATGCGCTTAAGGCGCTCGTGCTCGTGCGAGCGAAGATTACACCATATAGAGAGACAGTAACGTGGACGAACAGCTCAGAGCGTCGAACTGTTTTTATTGCCTCAGTCACTTCGCCCAACACCCCCTCTCCGTCTTGCCTAGCCGAAGGCCTAGGTGGCCAAAAAACGCTTTACATTTAAATAACAAGGCACCGCCTGCTGATTCTATAGCAGCACCCCCACCTCTGTGCCGTTCCCGCCCTCTGGATGAATATGATGCGTGGTAAAGAAGTTAGTCGTGATGATGTTACATAAATGACCTATGGTGAACCTCGGGCTGTTTGGAACAGCGGAACAAAGGGCTCAGGGCCCCACTTTGCTTCAGGGGTCGCAGGGGTGCTGCTGTTGGAACCTGTGGAAACCCTCCACTCACTTTAATACATTGTTGCCAACACACATCTTCCTTTGACCGAAACAATGTATCAGATACAACGTTACTGCAGCATAGGCTTGTGTAGCGAGGCGGGCGGGGAGCTGCCTAGCCCCTAGTTAGTGTTAAACTGCACCGCCCCTCCGTTTTATGACACTTTATATAATTATTGTGGTACTACTTGGTCAGTAAGGCCATACCTTCCAACACCCAGAGTTTAAAATGCAATTTGAGCAACGTGGGGCCCACCCGAGCAGGCGTGTTAGCTTACTTCAGTCTGTTTTAGCGTATTTCTCAGTGAGGGGCGCATAGGAAATGGCAGTATGGCGCAGTCGCCGGGCTACAGCACCGCACACAGCGCGCGCCCCTCTGCGTGGATGGAGGCTCTCAAAATGGAGGCAGTGACTGATGCACCGGCAGGCCTCTCCCCCGCTCACATGCGCGCAGTTTGGCTGTGGCTCACGTTGGTGCTCTGATCTCTCCGTGCCACTGTTTTGGTATGAATTTCGACAGGTCTGGGGTTGGATTTGAAATGTCTCTTTTCTCTGTGGGAGAGGCTGGTGAGACTTTGTAGCCATACTGTACACGCCCGCAGGATACGTGGCAATGTTGTGCGCTCGCTTGGTTAGAAAATGGCTCCTATGCACAAAATGGAGCCAAACCCTCAAAGTGGCTGTACAGCAACTGTTGAATCACCATGGCTGACACTCAAAAATTGGAGGATTTTTTATTTTTTTTGTAAGAAAAACAAATATTTTCCCATTGACACGTAGAAGGAAATACGCTGCGGTGACCATATTCGGTTGTTAACGCATTCACTTCGCAATTTATTTAACCAGAATCTGTTTCAGGCAACGAGGTTTCTTAATAAATTCGTGACGAAGTTATATAAATATATATAATCCTAAATGTTTATGGATATAAGCTATAGCCTGTTTTTGAATTACAATGTGAAATTGTGATTAGTGCCATATGTTAAACTTCAATTACTCTAATGATCAAATCCAGCATTAAAACCATAAGTATGACAAATGTCAGTCTCAGCAGTGTGTTTATTGGATTAAACACTTAAGAAGAATAAGAGCACATGATGTTATACAGGTTCTGAGCATTCCATGCGAAAGCCAAAATACATTTTTGTTATACGTGTAATTGCCTTTTATTCACTGTTCATTCTGCTACAGACTTAATTTACTCTTTCCACCTCAACTTATCCCCCCTTTTTTTCTTGTCCTGAGGTGGCTTGAATGGCTCTCCCCACCCCCCTTCTTTTTCTTTCTCTAAACACACACACACAGGAATCACAGGCGAGGGTTTCTCAGGGTCAAATAACCATAGGAGCAACGTATTCTCAGACTTTTGCATGAAAGGGGCACAAGTGACCTTTCTCGTGTGTTCATTAAAACTTAGAAGTGGATTAAGATTGACAAATAAAGCAGAAACCTATTTGTAGCTTCTTTTTTTTTTTTTAAGTTTGAGCATCATGTTAGTGGAAATTTTTATCCAGAGTTTGCTTTTGTCAGACTGAGTGTTCACAGGCATCCTTCAGGTGATTCAATACATATTATTGCTTTGTTCCTATTGCAAAAAAAATAAAAAATCCTCCAAATGGTATGACCTGTGTCTGTCTTTCACCAGACCAATAAGACGTTTTCTTGAATACAAAGACATTGAACATTACTTATTATCAGTCATAGGTCAAGCTTATGGCTGTTTTCCTGAAATCAAGCAATTCTGTTTTTCATAGCCACATGCAGAGTTAAAAATACACTTTGTTGTGAAAAAGGTTGTGACCATTGATGTTTATACGACTATCAGCTCGCTACGAGTCTCTGTTCCACAAAAATCACTACTTCATCAAAGTATTTATTGTGTGCCTGCTCTGTGCTTACCTGGAAATTCCTCTTCACTTCAACCCTCAACAAAAGCATCTCTTCTAGTAAAACCTGCCTGCTGTCTTTTTCTTCCTCTCTGTTGTTTCTATAATCGTGGACATTTCCTCAGGTGAAGCTGCCTGTCTTTGGAGGTAAGAAACACAAAACTCACTTTTTCCATACAGAGCAACAAACACCTTAATTGCAACAGGTGCTGCCAATCAGAATCAACTCAACAGCTGAAATCGTTTCAATACAAGTTGATTCTGAAGGAGCTTTGTGGTGGAGGAAGAAATTTCAAAACGCTTCATTACAAGCAACAGTGTACTTAAGGTATGAAAAGTTAATGCAGGAGAAAGGACCCTTTAAGTCAAGCTAAGTTAAGCTACAATAGGTCATCTTAGTGCTGTAGCTGCTTCAAGTGGAGCCGAATGTTTAGGCTGCAGTTGAAGAAGAATCTGTCCATAACAATATTAACTCAACAGCTTATTCTATGAAACACTAGAGCACAGAGAAGAATTACCATCACAATTCCCCAAACTGACGTCTTCAAATGTCTTGTTTTGTCCAACGAAAAGGCAAAAATACAAACACACTCAATTTCTTATAATGTTAAGGCAAAGAAAATTAGTAAATTCTTCACATTTAAGAAGCAAGAAGATCACATTTGGAAATTTTGTCAAAAGAAGATTTAATGATTAGTTGATTATCAAACAAGCAGCAGATTATTATTCTCTCTGTTGACTAATTGGGGAGCATAGTTGGATTATTTTTTACATTTCATCATATTTTTTTTAAACTGGAAAATTTTCAATCGGTCACGTAAACAAAGTTGGTCAAATAAATGTACTGATGAAATGAAATAAAAAGCAAACAGCATAAGCAAATGGATTTACTTGCACTCCACCACCAGACTTAAATTCTTTCCCCCCACACACCTAGAAGTAGGACAAATCAGGAAATGACTTTTTTTGCACTCATGCACTTCCTAAAGACTGCCATCAATAGCATCACAAGACCTTGTCAACAGCCTTCCCTCCTTGTGTGTGTGTGTGTGTGTGTGCTGGGGGGAGGGGTTGATAGGCGGAGGTCAAAGGCTGTGGAGAAACAGGGTGAATTGGGCGGGAATGCAGAAGGAGGAGACAAACAGGCTCGGGAAACGCAGGAGGGTGAATGTTCATCTCTGGCCTCAACACTTGTAATGTGAGATCACTGCATTGCAGGTAATGTTCTTCCTCCTGAAATCACATTGTTGTCTCTTTAAACTGTTGTGTGATGAGGTAACAAGGCTTGTTTTGTGACTCTCACTTCATGCACAAACGTTTCAGCTGGCGTCTGCCTCTGTGTGCAGCTTCTTTGTGAAATTGCCAATAAACAATGACGGAGACGACCCCCTGTTTTTCCATCCAACCAGGTGCTGAATCACATTCCAAACTGGAGCAACTCACCTGCGTTGGGTCTTTGTGTGTTTCCTGATGGTCAGTTCCCATCCTGACTTTATTCTCTTGACTGCCTGTAAGCAACATAATTAAATCACGTGTTCGTTTCTGTCAGAGCTGAACCTTTGGGGAGAAGCGGAAAAGCCATTCTGAGAATTCCACTGATGTGACACTTGTAATTGAAAGATTAGAGCAATTTTATCATGAATTCAGTGTTAAGAGTTACAGTAACTCTGCTGTTTACATTACAAGGAGGCAAAGCTTTAAAGGATAAGGCTAGTGGTCGTCTACATTGTCATCAAATCCCATGAAAAGACCAAAACAATTCATGTATTCTACAAGCAATTATTATATCTTATTCCTCTCTGCCGTAGAGACCTATTGCTGTCCCAAAACTA